TGTGGAAGCAGAAGTCCTGGCGCAACATCATCAGCCAGCAGAGAGCGCGGTCGAGGTATCCCATTGTTCCCCATATCCGCCTCCGCGCTTTGTTTTGGTCCTCTGTGTACACCCCTTGATGGTTGCGACACTCCCCGAACAGCAAACCAACAGACTTGCGGGAAAAATGGGAACGTATCCAAAAATGAGAATTGGCGTTTTTCTTCAGAACCATCGGGTGTATCACAGAACCAAAATTATCCTGCGAAACCCCTTCGCCCCAGCTGTGAGCTGTGAGATGAGCTCATCAGAACCGCCATGCTCCACATCACGCCTTCTCACGGGCGCAAAAAGCGATTCGTGCTGGTTTCGACCTGATTTCTCGCGATGCTGGCTACCTCGGCGATGCCGAGGACATACAGCTTGAGCAACAGCTCATTCGAAAGCTGCTGTAAAGACCTACAGCACTGTCAACTTTTTTGGGGGGAGTTGCAAAGGCGTGGTTTGCTTTCTAAAAACAAACGCCCATTCTCATTTTTGGATAGGTTCCCATTTTTCCCGTAAGTCTGTTAACCCCCATCACCTCCCAGCTCCGCATAGAACTGGTCGAACTCCTCCTTGTCGAACCCGGTGTACTGCCTGAACGAGCAGATCGACCCATGCCAGGGACGCGTACAGAGGTAGTGGTAGACCCCGTTGGCATGGACCATCTGCCGTCTCCTGTTAGATGCGGCGTCGTTTGCTTCGCTCATCCCCTTCCCTATCGTGGGTAGAAACCTCCTAAGTTTGTTCACAGATACAAGCTGCGTGTGACGGGAGGCTCTCTCGCCCGGACTCTCAGGCGCCGAATGCGCAATCGCAAGCATCTCCTGGAGGCCAGTCTCTGCCTGCTGCGTCAAGGCCCCCATCTGTTTTGCCAACGCATACGCAGCTTCGTCATCGTCACCCAGACGGCCCATCTCCTCCTCAGCTTCCTCGAACTGAGTAATCAACTCGATCACGTTTCTCTCATGTAACCATGCAGCGGCCTGAGCGTGCAGCTGGCGCTGTTGCTCCGTTAACCCCTCCTCTTCGGACATCGTGTACTACTACTGCTGTACGCTGGTAGCTGGTTACACATTGTTGTGTGGGTAGCGGGCCGCAGCCTGCGGGATGTGTTCCTACTTTGCGGTAACTACGTTGAACAGTCGAAATTCCGAGGCGCGCGGCAGGACACGTCATATTTTGGTGTGTGGGACGCACCGGCACCGGGACCGGGAGTATGCAAACCATTCGGATATTTGGCTCTATCCTGATGAAATCATCCGGACGTGAAACAGCCGAAATTACACGTAACACCAGGACGCCCGAGTTTGCAATGCGTCATGTGCAGATGATGTGTGCGCATGTACGCATGCATACGAACCGGGAAGACTTCACAGAACGAGGCTGTCATTGTTTGCGTTGTTGGTGACAACAACTGCGATTGATTGTGGACTGTACGCATCTGTTGCTCGTGCGTTCCTCGTGCGGTGGTTCCATGATGCCCCACCAGTGGGGTACCAAACGCTCATCCATTCACTGCCTCTCTATGTCCCTTTACCTGTATTTTCTGCTGCACCCTGCGTATGATTATCATACCCACACTAAGGCAGCAAGACGCGCGGCAAGGAGGTTCCGACCGCGGGTGGCTAATATTCGGTTGTGTACTGCTCTCACCTAGTAATTTCTTTGATGCAAGATAACCACCTATTGCAATCTCGTCCACGTTCCACAGGATCCGATGATGGTCCCCGACAACCATGATGATGATAGTCCCCCATGGCTGACGGACAGTTTTTCCTTCTTCATTCGTTGTCTGCTGCGAGTCTAGACTAGTGAACAACAACAGTCTATGTAAGATAACCCTGGTCATTTATTATGCCTCACCGCGACGTCTTAGACAGACAGACGTTGGGGAGTATGCATAGCAAGTAGGATTGATCTCCACAGCTGTCTTGTAGCGTGTCTAATTTTACGCACGTTGTTTCCGTTTTCCTCATGAGAGATACCCCCGAGCCTCTTATCCGCTGGAGCATGGGATTCGAACCTTCTCATCATGTGGACTAGACTAGACTCGACTAGACTAATAGTCTAGACTGGGCAGATTTTGAGAAATGAAAAACTGGGAGAGGCCCGCTGGGAATATTATCTGGGTGCTCGGACACAGCATAACCGTTCCGGGTAAACTTGGCGATCCAACTGATTTTCTTCTTGGAGATGCCATTCTGTGCTCGTCGTTGGTCTGATTGAAAATCCGCACCAAATCGTGCTCCCTCGTTCTCTATATTGTATGCGACCCAAGTCTACGGTGTCAATGGTATTGCCTGCATCCTGGTAGATTCGACGACGCCGCGGTATTGGAGTCAGGATTCGAGATAGGTACGCCGACTCCTTGGGCCAGCTTGCCATTCTTGGGATCTTCCGTGATTGTCACTCTCAGGAAATACGTGGTGGGGCGCCCGTTCCACCGATTATGAATCTTTGCTCTACACTCTAGAATGCTGAGGTGCCGTGCAGAACTGTAAAATTGTCCGCATGAAAAGGGCTGTGGCTCCGCAGCGGAGGACTCAATGAGGATATCATGAAAACTATGCTTCAATTTTTGGACTCGGTGTCCATTCATACGGAGGGAGCACACACTGGGAGCGAAGGTGAGAAATTGTTCTTTGTTTTTTTGTCAAAAACGGTAGTGTTATATACGACACCGGTGTCGTACTTCCTTATATACGACACCTACCATTTCTTGGCCCACAGGGCTCCAATCGGCGTACAACAAAATGCGCTGTGTAGCCACGGCCCGCAGCTATCAGCCCATACCATTTTGGGTCGAATCGGCCAAGTGGTTGAAGAGATATCTTAGAAATAGGGGGCTCAGCAGCATCGCAGGGTTAGGTTCTACCACAAATACGACTGTAACTCCGCCCCCAGAGCTCCAATCGGCGTACAACAAAATGTGCTGTGTAGCCACGGCCCGCAGCTATCAGCCCATACCATTTTGGGTCAAATCGGCCGAGTGGTTGCGGAGAAAGAGCCGAAAATAGGGGGCTCCGCAACTTACCGGGGGGGTGTCAGCGACGTTCCGGTCATAACTCCTTGCACAGACATCGCCTGATCGCACGTAAACTCGCGATGAGTAGGTACAGGCCAGAGCTATCGTTCAAGCCGCTGTGGGGCGCAATCCACCCAGTCAGTGCCATGGTACGCCTACACCCGGCTGGACGGTGTCCCCAAGGGCGGTGTCGTAGATAAGCTTATATACGACACCGCCCGTTTCTCGCCACACACGGCGCGAATGGACATCAGACCACGTACACTACATTGGTACAGCCCATAGCTATCGTTCAAGCCGCTGTGGGGCGAAATCCACCCAGTCAGTGCCATGGTACGCCTACACCCGGCGGGACGGTGTCCCCGAGGGCGG